CGTCCACAAAGTGGTTACGTAACAGCTTAATAAGATGCGGTATATCAGCGAAAACAGATACAAATTTGCTATCATCATATGGATGCTTAATAAAAAGATTTGAGTGGAAATGTTCATAGACCGCCAGAGCTGCTGATTATCCCGTCCAAGGTCGCTGACAGCCGTAACAACCGTAAAACCAATTTCGTATAGAGAAGTTATTATTTGCAATAAGACATCTTCTGTCATTTTAAAATTGAAATTGTAGAAAATGGGCTGCTTCCAGTTTCCACACAGTCCACGAACCATCGCTACTTGGACCACCCTTTTCGGCTGGAGAATTATGTCTGCTTTCCGGTCATACGCCTATTCCTCCCTGCACTACATTTCGTCTAATGAAAGAATGCATAATTTATTTTCCAACGGCATATCGAACGTTTTCATGTGCGCGAAGATTTGTGTTTGCAGACCAGGCTCAATGCATAACTTGGATGCCCACCTACGCAGAGTAGAAGGTGACGGCAAAGGAAATTCAAGTTTCCGCAGCAGTCTGTAACAACGTGGCCCAGCAGAATATAGGCAAGTAGCTGACGATATGTCATCCAGGTTATAACGTGGTGGCTTTAAACTGCTTAACTCAAACAACTTTTGTTGAGTTTGGGTTAGAAAGCTCTTACCCTTTTCAAAAATTGAAATTTTGAGCTCAAAATCTACAACTTTTTGCTGAAGCACACTAACTTCATTTTGTAGCTCAACGCATTTGAGCTGGTGAAAATCTAGTGAATTACTAAGATAAATAAATACATAAATACGAGTGTCTAATTAATAAGTATATTTCCCGAGCTAAGTTTTTATCTTACTCAGTTTGTGTCGATATGCTTGTGTTGTTGTGTTGTCTTCATTACTACATTTAATGAAAGGATATATAAATATATATATATCCACTGAGTTTTACAATAGTTTCACAAACATACTCTTCCAATATATTTAAAGATCCTTCCACAAAATCGTTTTCTTTTAATTGAGTACTGTAAGTTTTAAACACAAAATTTGTTGTTGTTGTTTTTGTTGTTAATTCGCTGGGCTGTTAATTTATATGGAATAGTATAATTCGAAGCACATGTTTAAAGTCCATTAACTTACCCTTTATATGTACATATTTGTATTGCGGCATCCAAACAATTACATTAAAATTCTTCATCTATTAGGCGAGACCATTAACTAACCCTTCATATGTACATATTTAGGTCGTGGATTGGCATCACAACTGCTCTAACTTTTAGTGTCAAGCCATAAGGTGCAACTCCCCTACTCCACTTGCTCGTGTGGATATTCAAAAACGGCAGTAGATATGACGCCATAGCAAAAATTTTCTTCTCCGGACGACATATTAACTATTTCTTTATTAACACGAACGCTGAATACGCCTTTAGTATCAAGTCATAAGGTGCAACTCGCCTACTTCTACTTGCTCCTGTGGATATTCAGAAACGACAGTAGATATCGACGCCATATCTACTCCGGACATCATATTTACCATTTCTTTATTAACTATCGTACAGTGCTTATTTTGTGAAAAAAAATACTTTACTGTTCCTCAGTTCGCCCGCCAAGATTTTATTAAGTTTTCCAGCATTTAACAACTATAAAAAATTGAAAATAAAGAAATGAAATTGTTCAAAATTGGTGAAAATGAGATGGCGTGTGGGAGATTCAGTTTTACATTTTAAAATTGCTCAATGTAAAATTTTAAAAATCATTCCGTGCAAATACATATGTACAGCGAATGATTTCTAAATCTGAATTGTTTGTGCAAAGTTTCAGATGCAGAACCTTAATTTGAAAGTAAATTGTCTCTGTAGATTATATATAGATACATATATAGATTTATAATACAAATAGAACCATATTTGCCTCAGAAGAAAACATCAAAATAAACGATGTAAGATTTATATGGGTATCTGTACAGGGGCAAAAGCAACATTTTTGTTTTGCAGATGCAATCTGTTAATAACAATAAAGTTGGGTCTAGTGCAGGAAAAAGTGCATTGAAATTAACCGCCGAAGTAAAACGTTCGCCATCAGTCAATGCGATCGAGTGATCCGAGCTCTACAAGCAGTGGAAAGCTAACAACAATTGTGATAGACGATACAAATGCCACTAACAACGCTGGCTCTGAATCGTATGCAGGCGCTAAAAGTGCATCGAAATTGTCTGCCGAAGTAAAACATTCGTCATCGGTAAATGCGAGTATGAGTCACGGTGGAGAGAATACAGAGGTGGCGCCGATGACGATACCGCTACTCGGCTCTCAGTGATTTTGACAGAATCAGCTGTTTTGGTGACGTCATAGTAGAGAAGACAGCAGTAGTGATGTGCTCAGTCAATACTTTCAAGTATTGATCGATATTCGGCAACGATTTAAAATGTATTCAATGCTCTCGATACTCGGTACCAAAACATTTAGATTTCAAATAAAAGCGCACACAGGCCAAAGATATGGAAAAAAACGGCTCAGGGGAGACTCGCCAATAGAGCCGATAGAGCTTTTAATACTGATTCAAATGAAAGATGTATATATGTCGGTTCCAGGCCATAACGCAGAGAAACTCTCACTTGTTTGAAGCATTTTTGTTCCAGCTGAATCGGACGATATCATTTTTGGAGGCCAAGGGGCAGATTCTATAACCAGTTAGCGACAATTTTCGAATCGGTATCGGGTTTGTTGACCTATGATATGAAATATTGTTACACCAACAAGTACAATATCGATCCGAAACTTTTCGCTAACTGGTTAGATGTCCCCCTGAAAAGCTTCCTCATCCGTCAAAACATTTTTCTTGAACCTTGGATCGACTAAGGTTAAAACTGATAAAATAATATTTTTCTGTGGCGATAAGTTCAAGTGTTTTAGCCGATATCATATAAATTAGTAATGAAAGTTTTTTCTAAACCTGAAATGCATATAATGGCGAGGGTTTAATGTAAATAATCGGTATCGGATACCGAAAAGGAAGTATAGGGTACCGAAATCTTTTTTAAGTATTGGGTACCGAGTATTGGGGACAATTCAGCACATCACTAGTCGCCCTCAGTCTCGCCGCTCTCAGTTGTCAACTCTACGATGACGTCACGCTAAAATTACTCTCACGAATTCTGCTGCAATCGGCGCAATCTTGTATTCTATCATTCTTGAGTATGAGTGATCAGAGCTCTCTAAGCAGTGCAAAGTCAACAACAATTGTGATCAGAGGTGGGCACTACCACCAGCGTTGCCAGGTTGACATTTTTAACGTCATTTGGACGTTTTTTGTATCCCGTTGACGTTTGGACGTTTTTTGTGTAAAAAATGACGTTTTTTAACTTCCCAGTAATTTTTCTTTTTGGTGGTAAGGGTCTTGTAAGTAGAACTGATTTTGAATTACTTTCTTAAAAAATCTTTACAAGCTTTGTATTTTGCAGCAGCTGCTTCAAAAGATATTTATTCTTTGGACACAGATGATGAAATATGATACAAAATATGATATGATATATGAAATATGATGCAAACCAAGCGTACGCGTACTTTTTTTTTATCTTGGACTAAGGGTCCCGTGTTCAAAGGCTGGTTGTTTAAACACTTGAGGTTACGAGGCTTATTGTAATGTTTGCAATAGGCACATTAAAAGCCAAATCAGGAAAAGCTGATCTATTGCAACACGCACGCTCGCAAAAGCATCAAAAAAGCTGCAGCGGCATAAAAACCCAGAAAAAACTAGGCGACTTTTTTAAGACTTCATTGAAAATGTAACGAACGCAAAAAAGGTTTAAATATTGCTATGCTCCTTCTTAGCAGAACGTAATTTAGCATTTTCGACAACCGACCCTCTAACCAAATGCCTACAAGAAAAAAAAAATTATTAAAATCAACGCGATTATTTAGCCCATTCAAACTTGCACATTATTGCCCTGAAATTTAATGCGCTATCAAACTGCATACTCAAAAAATTCTAAAAAATCTGAATAAAAAGGTGAAAATCTAGCTGAAACTTTACAGATTTTTTATAACTTTTGCACAAAGTTTGAAATGTGAATTTATATTTTGTTTGTTATATAATGAGCTTGGCTTTTATGGAAAAATAATAAACATTAAATAAACAAAATAGAAACAGCCAAAATCGATCGAAAATTGTTGACTTCTTCTGACCAGTATATGTATAAAATGATTTTTATATTAACGATCTCAAACCAGTTTAC